GATTTGCGTGCGCAGTCCGGGCGCGTAACCGAAAAGCTTAAATATGAACTCCGTGTGAAAAATGCTAAATTCTGATATTAATATGAATATAGTTGACTTCGGTCAACATTTAGGGTAAACGGACCCGGACCCGTGATTTGACGGTCCCGGAGGGTCCGTAGAAAAATATGGGACTCGGGCATATGCCCGGAGTCGAATTCCGAGTAATGAATTTTTCTGTGAAATTGTTTTTCTGAAATTACTAAGGAAATTGGAAATGAAATTTGATTAAAAGACTGTGGTATCGGGTCGTATTTTGGTTTCGGCGCCCGGTACAAGTCTTATATATGGTTTAAGCGCTTCCTGTAAAGTTTGGTTGAAATCGGACGTCGTTTGACGTGTTTCGGACCTAAAATGGAAAATTTATGTTTTATGAAAATTTGGAAGAATTCATGAGTTTTTAGGTTTGATCCGTTGTTTTTGATGTTATTTTGGCGATTTGATCGCACGAGTAAGTCCGTAGGATGTTTTTGAGGTTGTGTGTATAATGGGTTTGGAGCCCCGAGGGCTCGGGTGAGTTTTGGATAAGTGTCGGATTGCATTTTTCATTTTGGAAAAACCTGGTATCAGCTGATCTGCAGTTTTCGCAAATGCGAAGCCAGAGTTCGCAAATGCGAAGGCCAGCTATCGCAAATGCGGAGGGTTTTTCGCAAATGCGAAACCAGCCTAAGCAGGCCAAGGTTCGCAAATGCGAAGCCAGGCATCGCAAATGCGACGGCCACTGGTTTGCAAATGCGAGACCATTTTCGCAAATGCGAAGGTCCCTTGGCCAGCCTCAGTTCGCAAATGCGAACAGTAGTGTCGCATTTTCCAAGCCTGCAGGGTTCGCAATTGCGAACCCAACTTCGCATTTCCCATATCTGCAACCTGCATTTTTCATACATAGACGAATTTCAAGTCACTTTTCACCATTCTTTCAAAACCCAAACACCATAGGCGATTTTTCAAGAACAAACTTCATCCCAAATCATTTGTAAGTCGATTTTTACTCAACTCTTTCAATCTTTAACATCATTTAACATGTTTTCCACTTATAATTAAGGATTTTCATGGGTGAAATTGAGATTTTTGGGTAGAACCTAGGTTTTCTAAAAATTGGGGATTTGGACCTCGATTTGAGGTCCGATTTTCAAAACAAATTACATATTTGAGTTCGTGGGGGAATGGGTAACCGGATTTTGGTTCGAACCTCGGGTTTTGACCACGTGGGCTCGGGGGCGATTTTGGAATTTTTGGAAAAAACTTGGGAAATTCATTTTTATGCATTCAAATTGATTCATTTAGTGTTTATTAAAGTAATTGAGCAATTTGTGACTAGATTCGAGCAAATTGGAGGTGGAATCGCGGGGTAAAGCGATTGTTGAGGATTGAGTGGAATTCAAGGCTTTGAGGTAAGTGTTTGGGTTAACCCTAGCTTGAGGGAATAGGAGTTGAGTCTTGTTTGCTATTTGCTAATTGATCGAGTATGATGTATAGGCATGGTGACGAGTATCTATACATTGGTGTCTAGCATGACCGTGAGTCCTTAAAGGGTGATTATCATGATTTTGTTGTGAATTCCATGTTAATTGAGGATTTCTATATATTGTAAAGAACATGTGAAAAACATTATAATCATTGGATTTTCGTGGTGTCTTGGCTTGGTTGTGATACGAATTGAAAAGGTATCTGAGATTATAAAATTCTTGGGAGCATTGGCTTAAGTGATAAAGTGAGATGTGAAGTAAGAAATGAAAGAAAGCTAATGAGTTATTGGTTATTCCCTTGCCGGGATGTTTTGCTGTTTGGTAGACTTTTCTCCCTTGCCGGGATATTTAAATTGTTGTTATTGTTCCCTTGCCGGGATTCCTATTTTGTTTGTCTATTCCTTCGCCCCATTGTTTGTGATTGTTGTTCGGGTGAGGACGAGTGATAAAGCACGAAGGGTGATGCCGTGCGCGATTGTGATATGAATACTAATGCACGAAGGAACATTCCGTGCCATGATATGATTACTAATGCATGAAGGAACATTCTGTGCCATGATATGATTACTAATGCACGAAGGAACATTCCGTACCATGATATGATTACTAATGCACGAAGGAACATTCCGTGCCATGGTGAGTGTTTATGCACGAAGGATCATTCCGTGCCATCATTTTGTGAGGTAAAGCACGAAGGGTGATGTCGTGCACTTTATATGATTGTTTGGGTGAGAATGAGAGTAAAAGCACGAAGGATGGTGCCGTGCAATTGTTGATTTCCTACTCTCGTTGATATTGTAGTTGTACTGTTTCATTCCTTAATTATTGATTTTATACCTGAACTGTTACAGCCCCTATAGCATGCTCCCCCTCCCCCTTGACTGGTTAATTTCCGTATACCTTTATATTGCATACATATATATTGAACTGCACAGGTTTGTTTGGTAGTCCGGTCTAGCCTCGTCTCTACTTCGCCGGGGATAGGCCAGGCACTTACCAGCACATGGGGTCGGTTGTGCTGATGCTACACTCTGTGCATCTTTTTGCACAGATCACGGTGCCGGAGCAGCTTTTGGACAGCAATAGAAGATTTGGGAGCTGACTTCAGTCTAGAGACACCGAGGTAGCCTTGCTGACGCCCGCAAGACCGGAGTTTCTTCTATCTTTGCTTTAGTTTGTTATCCTTTGTACCGGAACAAACAAAACTATGTTTTTATTCAGACATTGTATTTAGCATTCTCTAGATGTTCGTGAGTTTGCGACTCCAGTTCTTGGGTAGAGTTGTATTGAACTTCCGCATTGCTTTCAGTTTATTTATATTTAAGACTTCCGCTTTTCTATTAAATGTTTCGTTGTTTTCAATAGTGTCGAGATTTGTTAAAAGAGATAATAAATAATTGGCTTGCCTAGTTCCTAATTGTAAGCGCCATCACGACTCCCGAGGGTGGGAAATCCGGGTCGTGACACATTTACTGGGGTTATTGGCGACGATGTTGATCCTGACTTGTTGGAAGAATTCAATAAGTGGTTATACTTTGGTACCGAAAGAGGTTAGATTATAGAATTTTTTCATATTATCGAGTGCATACAATTTTTGGATTTCCAATTGAAACTACATAATAATTGTACTTGCTATGTGTTTAAATAGGAGGAAGATGCCTTATTCTTTAAAAGATAACCAGCTCAAGTCGTGGTATGATCTTGGAGTGGAGAAAGTTGATAAAAAGGAGTTGTTTTATACTTTGGCACATCCCGGGCAAGTCCTCAACGATACGGTACACACGTACCCTGGCATAATATAATGATTAGCTGTAGCATTCTGTTATTTTAGAATTCTATAGGTTTTTTGTTTGAAAATTGTAGTTAAATTGTATGAAGCATTGAGAAATAATGAAATCTATTTTTTTGTAGCACATTGATGTTGTTTTATACTATTTGAGGAAGAGAGGAAAGTATGATCCTCAAAACAAAACATGATTTACAATCACTGATTGTATTTTCAAGACTAGAATTGAACAAATTTATCAGAGGTACATTAATGCTCCTGCCGATAAGAAGCTTGTTGTTGTCAAACCCCAGGACATCGTATCAGAATACATATTGGGGGTACAGGTTACTTGCAAATGTTGCATGGGATAAAGTGATTTTGTGATTATGCCCATAAACATTGTGGAGAAATTTCATTGTTTATTGGCTGTGTTTGACATTACCGATAGGGTTCTATATGTTTATTATTCTATGGTCTCTTCACGAAATCACAACCTTGTTGAATCTATTGTCAATAAGTTTGCTGTTATGATTCCCCTGTACTTGTCATACACCGGCTTTTATGGCAAGAGACCAGACATCAACTACAAGAACACAAAGGCGTACATTGAAAAAGGTGTTACTGACCATCTTGACATTTAGTGGTTGGTCGGTGAGGTACCCCAGCAAAAAGAGGGACCACTGTATGAAAAAGCTGCTTTTCCTTCTATCTATTTAACAGGTTGTATTTTACACTGAATGATAAATCTTTTCTCCTATTTTTTTTGCAGTGACTGTGGCGTACACGTGGCGGCATTTGCAGAATATGTCAGCATTGGAGAGCTAGTGATTTCAGAGGAAGACCTTTCTGATATTGATCAACACCGTAGACGCTATGGAGCGGTACTTTGGGATTACGCTAGGAAAAAGCAAGAACTTGGTGCAATTAGTGAAGGTGAGGTGACTGGCAGATTAGCAAGAAGAAAAGGTGCACCAGCTGTGAACGAGAGAACACTAGTCCGGAAAAAGAAGAACTAGCTGCCCTTTTCAGTAAAAAATTATTGTTAAAGTGTTTAGTTGTAGCTGGATTGTAGTTAAGTTGTAGACAAATTGTTTATTAAGAACAAGTCAGCTGCAATTTATTTGTAGCAGATTTGTGCTATATTTGTTTTACCTTTTATTTTGTTATTTTGTCCAGAAGTCTACTACTTAGAATAGAAAATATCTGTGACTTTTTTTTGGTTGAAAGTTGTTAGTACTTGATCTCGATATTGCTACTATATAATTTTTTTACAGCTTAACTACAATTATGTCTACAACTACTATACAAAAATACATAATCTATTCAATTTAAGCAGTGTTATTAGGAAAGACTGAAAAGTAATAAATAAACACAGTATTTGAATAAAATAATTGCATTAAGAGTTAAAATCTGTTTATCAAACATTCATCATAGGAGACAATCTTTATTCAAATTAGCAACACCACAACTATAATTCTCCAGAACAGAATAAATACAACTTCATATGTCTTAAAGGACAGATTATCATCAACAGTACTCAGTAAAAAAAAACTTTAAACTGTATCAATTTTTATTTCCTTTTGGGAGCATTCCTACAAGATCTTTTGTTATGCCCCTCTAGTCCACAGTCGCCATATGAAACCTTGTACTTTTTGCATTTACTTCATCATATGGTTTGTATTTTTGTTTTTGAGGTCTCCCTGGCTGCCTTTTTCCGGTAGGTGGCTTTACAACTTCTTCAGCTTATTTTGTAGCACATTCCATTTGCTTTCGTCAGGCAGCAGGTCTACTGGTATTTCATAAGTCTGCAGAAGGCTCTCCCTTGTGTAATAAGGAGAACAATAGTTTTCATAAGACTCGTTCCCGTGCCTCAAAGCTGCCAAAGCATGTGCACTAGGAAGTTCATCAAGCTGGAATTGTCCACAACTACATCTTTTGTTTTGAAGGCAAACAATGAAGCGCTTCACACCATGGATCACAGTATGAATATGATCTATGGAATCCCTCACCTACAATTTCATTACAAACACAGAAAAAGTTGTAAGCAATAGATACAAAAACAAAATAACTACAATTATTCAACAACTTTTCTATAATTAACATCATATATTTAGTTTGATGGAATCAATGATTTGATGTTAATGGCTATAGCTTACTCTCATCTTCTGCGATAATGTCCCGTTTTCCTCCAACTCTTTGTTGTATTTTTTCCCAAGGTATGTGAACGTACCATTTGCATTCAATAACTTTTCATTAGTCCAACGTTCAAGAAGAGTCCTCATGTACTCTAATAGTTCTACTACGGGCAACTCTCTTGCATCTTTTGTTACCGTATTCAATGACTCTGCAATGTTTGATGTCATCGTACACGTTCTGTTCACCGTATCATGTACCCGAGACCATCTGTGATAGCCAATATCGTATAGGTATGCTTTAACACGCGTGTTGATCTCTTCAATCTTTGACATTCTTTCATTAAATTCAGCAAGCGTGTATGATCGTGCCATGGCAAAGTACAATTCACTTAACTTTAGATGACCCTTCTTGAACTTTGACCTTACATTTGTCCAAATATGCCACATGCAAGCATAATGTGGCATGCCGATATAAACAGTAGATATTGCCTTCAAGATACTCTCATTCCGGTCCGAAACAACATACATATTTGATTTTTTACCATATGCATGTTTGAATTGCTCAAAAAACCACCTCAATGATGCGTCATTTTCTGAATTAACAACAGCGTGTGCCAGTGGTAATATGCTACCTATCACACAGGTGGCAAAAAGAAATTCAATTTCTGTAATAAACTTGAGAGTATAAAAAATACAGACTGAAAAACAACTTTATAACAATATTTCTACAATTAATCTACAATACCTGCTGCATCCACTGTGCTAGCTGTTAGCATAATTCCCCTGTATGCCGACTTCAAGAAGGTGCCATCAACTACTACAACTGGACTACAATACTCCCAACCCTTGATGGACTTACTAAGTGCAACAAATGCGTACAAGAAACAGTCATCTTCAGTCTTTTGCAATTTCACTACCGACCCCGGATAAGTCTTCTCCAGAATATACAAATAACTCGACAAGCGCCTGTAGGAATCAGCAGGATGACTTCTCAAAAATTTCAAAGCCTTCTCCTTTGCTCTCCAAGCTTGCATGTATGTTAAGATCACACCATGATCCGATAAAATATCAATTTATATGTCTTTTGGTGTGTATATTGTCTTAAGATCCGCATATTTTGGCATCACCATGCGGCCAACTACCATGGCAGTAGGTTTGCGTTGTATGTATGTGTTGTCCATCAAAGAGCATGTGTGCAAGCTGTTAAATTTTCGAACCTTGAACAATGCTGATTCGTTTATGCTAGTAGACTTGAAGTGCCACGTACAATTATCCCCAACACATACAAGGCGGTAGCTACAGAATAAAAACAATTCAAAAAATGCTATGAAAAATGTAGCTACAAAATACGAGGCTGTTTAAGCACAAAAATCTTATATTAAATAATTATATACAAATAAACTACAAAGTATACAAAAATATGAATTTGACAAGTGAAATGTTCCTACCTTCTTGCACTAGACCTTTTCACCCTAAATTGAAACTTATTCATGACAAAATATTGCTTCATTGCAATGACAATTGTTTGCTTGTCTTGGTAAACTTGGCCTACTTCAATAACATTTGGCGTATGTTCTGTAATGATGATACTTTCATATTCTACAATTGCCGGAGATGTTGGCCTACAATTAACTTCACTGTTCCTGATATTTCTCCAATTGTGTTACAATTGCTTGACAATTGTATCACGTTAGACATACGATAATCAGATGAACCTGCACTCAATTAAAAGTATTTACAATTCAGACCTCTGTATATTTATGTGTTCGGTATTTGACAGAATACTTGAAGAGACATAACAGTTGAACTACATTTGTTATGTAGTATTATTGTAGATAAGTTGTAGTAAAATTGTAGAACAAGTGAAATTGACAAAACATCAGCACTGAAAAAATAGAGCAAACCTACAATTATGCTCGAATTTGAGATACTGCATTTCAAATCGAAATCACGCACTATTATACACAGTGGATACATTCCTATGTTTTTGTTTTTCTTTTTCGTCTCCATATATACTCGAACTCCCATACCGTTCTGAATTTCCATTGGAGGACAATGTTCGTTGACAATGTATTTGATTTCGATGATTTTTGCGGAGGTATCGATTGTTAGATGCTTTGCAATTACGGAATTCCGTTGACTATAATTTGAATCTTCATTGACTACAATTCCATCAACATCAAAGTCTTTGTATCTCCCAACACTATCCCAGTGACCATGTAGCTGAAGCATAATCGCTAATTTCGACATTATGTCGCGAAATTCAACACAATTGTAGCTAATTGTTTGCGATTTTTTCCTCAAAACCTTCGTTTATGAAAAACCAGAGGAAACAGAGAAAACCGGAGAATAGATTATCAGAGAAATCGGCGTAATAGCAGGGTTCTACAAATACATTGGCTTGATTAAGGTGCGATGATTGCGCCAGTAAAATCTATGAAGAAATATACGCGATCCCAGAATCCATCGTCTAAATAAGGAAGACTACCGCAGAAAGGATTCTAGTTTAAACAAATGTATATATTTTGTAGCTAAAACTTGTTTAGGTCGGGTAAATAACTAAACGTGAACATTTTTGGTAATAAAGTTTCAAACAGTGTATAGGAATGAAAGAATAAGAAGAAGAATGGGCCAATCATTCTCTCAGCTAATGGTTGATCCTGTCCAGTGTCCACACTATTTGGCATTTGGATATAGCTGGAAGATAAACTTCACACTACTAGAATCCCTGTAAAAAGCGACCAAAGATTAGCGACCAAATTTGGTCTGTCAAAAAAAGCGACCAAAGTTGGTCGCCAAACTGCCGAAAATAATAAAAAAAATATTTGAAATACTTTAGCGACCAAAGTTGGACGCTATTTGGTCGCAAATTTAGTCAAACTGTTGACTGGACTGGTCAGACTTGTTTGGTCAAAGATATACTGAGATTAGCGACCAATGTTGGTCGCTTAAGCGGGACCCACATAAATTTTTTTAATAATTTTATTATTATTTTATAAAACTTATAAAATATAAATATATATAATTTAAAACTTGCGACCAAAGTTGGTCGCTAACTGAAGGATAAGTTGATAGCGACCAACATTGG